CCAAAAATGGGCATCTGAAATGAACAGGCATTTCTCACACAAAGAAGTAGAAATAGCAAATAAATACATGAAAAAATGCTCAACATCACTGGTCATTCGAGAGATGCAAATGAAAACAATGCTGAGATTCCACTTCACTCCAGAAAGAATGGCTGCTATCATGAAATCAACCAATAACCAATGCTGGCGGGGCTGTGGGGAAAGAGGAACCCTGCTCCACTGCTGGTGGGAGTGTAGACTGGGGCAATCACTGTGGAAATCAGTATGGAGATACCTCAAAGAACTAGGACTGGAAGTCCCATTTGACCCTGCTATTCCACAGCTGGGGATCTTCCCCAAAGAATTAAAAGAATCATACCACAGTGATATATGTGCACCCATGTTCATAGCAGCACAGTTTGTAATAGCTAAAACTTGGAAACAGCCCAAATGCCCATCAACTGGAGACTGGATAAAGAAAATGTGGTTTTATAAAATGGAGTACTACTCAGCCATAAAAAATGAGAAATTAGAGACATTTATAGCTAAGTGGATGCACATTGAGGCAATACTCTTAAGTGAAATAAATAGGACACACATGTATAAATACCGAATAGTTTCTCCGGTGTGAGAAACTGAAAGTGTAAATAAGGACTAAATGTATAATAGATAATGTGAAATAGGAAGAAAAGGGGCAAAGGCGAAGGAAGTGGGAGAGCTAGGGGAAAGGATAGAAGGGAATGGGATTAATATGAGAAAATGGAAAAATAGGAACAAAATCTTTGTAAATAGGGAGGAATGGAGGGGTTGAAGGGAGGGCTGGGCAAGGGTGAAAAATAAGAACCAAGAGAGACTATGTAAAGGTGCACATTTCCAATGATGAATGTCATTATATTGTATACCTAAAATGTACCAATGATTAGAATGAATAATCGATAATGTAAAATAGGAAGAAAAGGTCCAAAGGGGTAGGGGGTAGGGGTAGTGGGAGGGGCAGGGGAAAGGAAAGAAGGGAAAGAAAAAATGATGAGAAATGGAAAAAATGGAAATAAAGTCTTTGTAAATAGGGAAGGGTGGAGGGCGTGAAGGGAGGGCTAGGAATGGGGAAAAAATAAGAACCAAGATGCATTATGTAAAGGTGCAATTCCCAATGAGAAATGTAATTGTGTTGTATACCTACAATGTACCAATAAAATAATTTAATACAAAAAAAAAATCTTCGGTTCCTCAGCCAAAAATTTCACATCAGTGAAAGGAAAAGCCCTTGTTGAAGTTGACCGGTGATTTTCTTTCACAATAGTTCTATACACAAAGACTTGGCGAAATTGAGTTTCCTGTTTATGGCCATTAGTCCAAGTTATACAAACCTAGCACTGAAACTGTTTTCTGGCTTCTCTCATTCTTGGCCATAACTCATGGGTGTGTATTTCTCTATCAGTATCAATGAGGGCAAACACACAGCCCTATACATAAATCACGGAACAATGAAGGAATGAATAACAGACGTGTCGAACTGTCAGTGTACACAATAAAGATCAGGTTAGGTGAATGTGTACATTTCAACCTTACAAGTATAGCGTTTGTGCTAGGCTGAACTAAGCACTATGTTATATTTCAACATGGCCTTCTATTTCCATTTTCTCATTGCCTTTGCCACATTCTACAGGCGAACAAACATTTCAAACTAAAGCACAAAGTGTGACATATTTCATTTTTAATTATTTTCCAACAGAACTATTTTTTGCATTACCCTCTATGTTAACTTCTATATAGCCTTTAACTTATCTTGGTCCACCATCCTTCATTCTATGTTTTCTGAGCACCTGTACTGTTCCAGATGTGCTAAACACGGGATACAGCTGTGAACAACAGAGACAGGACCCCTGAGTCACAGGACTCTCCACCACCAAAAACTCGGAGCAGTAATGAGGACATAAAACCTTTTCAAAGGAATCTTAAATCCAGAGAAACCACAATAAGCATTTTTCACACACAAACAAGACACAGACTTTTAAAACACTCTGCCTGTTAACACAGCTACCATTCAATACCACCATCAGTGCTATAAATGTACTATCAAAAAAAATCACTACAGTAAAACCAAATTTTTTTCCAAGATGTGACCTTTATTGTTTCTTTATTTTTACATGTTTTGCAAAATCCTTTTGGCCTGAAATTCTAAATCATGGCTCGCCTCAATGATTTATTTTTAGCAAGTCCAAAGAAATAGAACTATTATTTTGGTTAACTCCTCTCAGTTTCCCATCTGGAGTTGTACATGAGCAGATTCAATCCAAGCATCACTCTGACACAACCAACAGATATGTAAATCACAATCATTCTTCCGTTCTCTCCCATCTCTCACCACTTGCCCTCTTCTGAAAGGCAAATCGGTACCAACTGCTACCAACACTGGCTATAGTGAGTGTCTAGTGGTCCCACCTCCGGGACCACCTCAGTGTCCCCTTGTCATCCCCAACATGCTTCTTTCACGTCAGCCAGCAGCACACTTTTCTAACCCCTCCACTGTGAAAACAGAAAGCACAGTTCAGGAGGGCTTTTGTTCAACCCTTATTTGCAAAAGAGAAGAGGGTGCAACAAACAGCAAGCATTCTCTTTCTGCAGGCTACGTGCTGGCCTCGAGACAGTCTGCTGGGTGACCTCACGAAGTCACTCCCCACTCTGTCTAGTTTCAGGAGCCGACATGTAATGACCTACTCTAGAAACCCAGTTAAAACAGGAGACATCATTTTTCTGGTCCTCCAGCCCACTCATGTTGGCCTCTGCACAATCAATGGTGAGAAGGAGAAGGCCCCTTTGGGGCAAATCTGGGTAAGTGGAGGCAGATGAGGGTGTGTTTGATGGCTTCCCTCTCCTCACATCTACTCTACCCTTAATTAGGACCACTCTTTCCAATATCAGGTGTGCCAGGCAATCCAGTGCAGAGCATGAAGGAAATATTAAAGCTGCTTGTTATCCTTATTTTACTTAAAAATGAAAATTTCCATTTTACTAATAAGTAGTATACAGATTGGAAGGGCCTTCACCCACCCAAGTCAGCGAGCCACAAGTTACCAATGGTCTGGAGTGTCTGGGGAGAAGACAGGCTATCACCTGGCACATAGCAACTTAACATGTGCATGGTTATGTGCACATATGGGGGCTTCCTCTGAAATAGCAAATAAGTCACAACCCACTATTGAAATGGAAAGTGACTGTGACATTCTTTTGACTACACAGAACTCATGAGTTACCTTATACAGTGGACCCTTGACTTATAAACTCAATTCATTATCGAGGGCTGGTTGTAACTTAAGTTGGTCAATTGAAGGCTCAGGCTCCTCTACACAGCCTACAAAATCTCCCTCCTGTATAATTTTAGGCCACACTTTCTTCCAGGCAGATCTCAGTGTCCATAGAGAGACATTGGCCCAGGGCTTCTCAGTTAACTCACACAGGAAAGGATGCTGTGATGTTCCTTCCAAAACTCTTTAAGGGTTAAATCTGTATCTGAGACCATCTGGAAGTACAAGGAGCCAGCATCCGGGTCGTAACTCAAGACTTTGGTCATAAGTTAAAACTAAAATTCCAGGCATAACCCAAGTTGTTTGTACGTCAGGCCAGTTGCAACTCGAGGGTCCACTATAGTAAAATTCTTAAAGCGCCTTTTAAACTTAAAGAAGAGTTACACAGTTTTTTCCACCAAAAAAAAAATCCAAATTTGCTGACTTTTGCTGGGACAACAAGTGGCTGCCAGCAATACACTACCTGATCAATATTTACAGAACAATAAAGGCACTTGCTCTGTCTCATCAAAGGAAAGGTGTTATTTTAACAACTTTTAGAAAAGTAAACAGTGTCCTAAGGAAATATATGTCTTGGAAAAAGAATATTGAAAATCAGATGCTTTTGTGGTTGAACCAAGAGAACAGTGTAACTCTAAAAATATTCATATTTACATTTTTTAAATGTGGAAACAAAATTTTCTAATATATTTTAATAGTTCCCAAAAGAAAATTTGCAGTGAGTTTTGAGTCTATTGTTTAAAACATTAAACTGCAAGCTTTCCTAGCAGAAAGTACTGAATACAACCTGGAAAGCAAACAATTTACCAGCCAAGTTTCTACTTTTAAAAAATTTCAGAATTGGGCTGGGGATGTAGCTTAGCAGCTGCGCCTGCCTGGCAAGTGCAAGGTCCTGAGTTTGATCCCCAGGGGGGACATTAGTCATTTTGTATATTTAGTTATCCACAATCAAGAAATAGAGAAAAAATTATTCAGAGGCTGTTAAAATTAAAAGCATTTTTGCCATTGTTATATTAGCCTTTTCTCTTTTATAATTTGCACATCATATTAATTTGGTAATATACGCATATAATTCATAAATGAATAAGCACATATGGCATTGCATGTTCAACTACTTTTCATTTTTGCAAATGCATGGTCAAAAGAGTCTCTACCACACTAACCTAGACACCCCACCAACTTGCAGTAGAGCTCGGGCTGGGTCCTCCCGAGGCCCTGTTCTCCACAGTTGGCAGTGGCCCAAATCGTGCCACCTTGCACTTTTGAAACCCTAGTTCCAAACTTATCCTCTTTTCTGGCAAAGTTTCTCTTCCCTAGCAGTTTTTCCAGGACTGTGAGGCGATGATGGTTTAGCGTAGAGGATTTGGAGTCGGACCAGATTCAAATGTCCCAGGCCCCCGCGTGACAACTGCACTTTCTTAGCTTCCCGGCCCCAGCTGCCCCCTGCGGGGGTGGAGGAGGCGAGGTGCTGACCAGGCGCGAACCCCACGATCCTTTCCCGGGCGCTCGTGGGCCACGCCCACCTCTGGCCACCGAAGGGGAGGACTCCTTCCCCCAGTGACAGCCTGGTGGCCCCTCAGGCAGCCGGTGACGTGTTTCTATCTTTTCGGTGACATCAGTGACACTACTGATAGAAGCTGAAAGTTCTCTCTAAAAATCCACCACAGGGGTAACTGGCTCCCTCCCCCGCCCAGCCCCACCTGGAGCGGGCCCTACCTGGAGAATTAGGCCTTTGCCGGGGCGGGAGGAGGGACCCCCCAGCTTGCAGTAGAGCGCGGGCTCGAGCCTGCCCGGGTCCGGCTGGGGCCTCTCCGGGTCCGGCTCCCCGCAGGTGGCGGTGGCCCAAATCCGAGCCACCTTGGCCACGTCCAAGAAGGGCGGGAGCAGTTCGGCCTGGGCCGGCGACGCCAGCAGAAGCGCGAGCAGCAGCGCGAGCAGCGGCAGCAGCGGCCACGGAGCCCGGCCGGGCGCCATCCCGCCGCGCGAGACTGCGGTCCCGAGCGTCCTCACAGGGCTGGGTGGCGCCGCCGCCCGGGGTCGCCGCTCTCCGCGCGGTGCAGCGGAGCCTGGGCACGCGGGGCGAGCGCAGCCCGGGTATAGGCGGAGCCGGGGCCGCGCCCCTGTCCACGCGCACAGCCCGCGGCGGGGGGCGGCTTCGCGGCCGGGACCTGAGGCGGCCGCGGTGCCCGGGCTCGCGGAACTGAGGGCGCCCAGCCTCGGGCCAGCGGCCGCCTCTCTGCGGGCGCCCCGCGCAGGGAAACCTGGCGGGCAGGCGGGCGGGCAGGGAAGGAAGAGGCGGTCCCGGGCTCCCACCGCGGGGCCCCACCGCCCGGCCTTCGCCCGCACCCCCAGGGCAGAAAGCTCATTCTCAGGCCTCAAACAAAAGCCAGCTCTGATCTAAGAGGACTGCGGGAAATGCCCGCGGAACTTCACCAAACACTGGGTTCCCGGAAGGTATGGATCGTCCACTCAACGCTGCGTAAGTATGGAGCCGAGGACTGCGGAGCTCTTGGGAGCAGGGTGGGTGGAACACACACATTTACAAGACAGCCGATGGAGTGAGTTGTGGTTAGCCACCCTGGCAAAGTACCTGAGGAAATCCTTTAGATGCCCAGTCTACTAAATTTCGGAGTTGGTGCGTGAAGTTCTGGAGCTGTCACGCTGGCCCTTCCAGGTGGTCCTGCATAGGGGACTGGTCCGGTACTCTGATCCCCTGGCCAAAAGAAATACACACCTGGCCCTCTAAGCAATCAGAAGAGCTTCGGTCGCTGGGGTCAGGATGGTCAGGGGACCTGTCCCGGAGGAGACAGGACTGAGAGAGACAGGAAAGAGCTGCCCTGCAGGGAAACAGAGGTGTGCTTGAAAGTCACTGAGGTACGGCTGTTCAAGTCCTCTTCAATGAACAGGTTGAAACCCTAACCCCAAAGGAGCTGGTTTCAGAAGCTGGGGCATTTGGGAGACGAGGTCAGGAGGGTGGCTCTGGTGAATGAGATAGTGCGCTGGTCGACACTTTCCACCAAGTGAGACCACGGTGAAAGGACTGCTGTCTAACAACCAGACAGGGCATCTGCTGGCACCTTGATCTTGAACATCCCTCTGAGGAATAAATTTCTGTTGATGCTAGTCTAGCACGTTTATGATATTTTCTTACAGCAGCCAGATGGCACTAAAAGAGGGAGAATTGTCACGTACATTACAGGAGGAAGTGTGCCTATTTATTCTTCAACAATAAGGAGAGGGAAAGGAATTTGTAAGCATAACACCTAAAGGAAAAGAGATAAAGACTCATAAGTTGGCTACATGGAAACTGATATAAAAGTTTTTGCATCAAAAAGCGCCATAACAAAAGTGGAAAGTGAATGAGGGAGAAATGTTATACCATGAGTGACATAAGATTCATGGTTTCAATGATTGTGGCTTCTACACAAGTACAGAAAAGCTGAATACTCAGGGCTAAGAGAAAAAAGAAACAGGCAATTCACAGAAAAAGAAACTTACAAAGCTAATAAACACATTTGTTTAAAAAAAAAAAGTTTGACCTTCTTGAGGATTGAAGTGCAAAGCAAAATACCTATGAGACTCATCTTTCACCTACCAAACTGGTAAAGCTTTAAAAGATAAAACTACAGGTTGAAGAGAATTCATAGAATCAAGTATCACATTCTTGGTAGCAGTGGAAACATTACAAGTTCAATTTTTTCAGTGCTTTGGAAATGGCACTATAACAATCCCAATTGTAGAGATCTATATCCAGGAAATAATTAGGAAAAGTTTTAAAGATTTAATGGCAGAGCTATTTATACTTTTTAAAAGTTTAAAGGAACTTAAATGTTCAATAATAAGGAACTGGTAAAGTAAATTATTGTATCTCCACATCGTGATATATTAAAAGGCCATTAAAATATAGTAGTATTTTCTGGCACAGAAAAATGTTCATAATATTTTAACAGTAAAGAAAAACTATACAATAATAGATATGCAAAAATCAATTATATTGCCAAACACTAACAATGAAAACCCAAAAATAAAAACTTTAAGTACTCCATTTACAATAGAATAAAAAAGAATAAAAGTCTTAGGAATAAATTTAACAAAACAGGTGCTATATTTGTAGGATAAAAACTACAGTCATCTTTCAAAGACATTTAAAAGGAGTGAAACACAGTTGTTCCTTGATTTACAATGGGATTACATCCTGATAAACTTATCATAAATTGAAAATATCATAAGTCAAAAATGCACTTAATACCTCTGACCTACTGACCAGCAAAGCTGGGCAGTGCAGTGCACTGCAGTGTTGGTTGCTCACCTTTGTGATCATGTAGCTGACTCAAAGCTGTGGCTTACTGTTGCTGCGACTGCCCAGGACTCACATTTCTGATTTCAAAACTCAGTACAAAGCTACAATAATTAAGTCAGGGCTATATTGGCTTAAGGCTAAATGTATACAGTTCAATGTAATGTAATTGAAAGTTCAGAAATAACCCTGACATTTATGATCACTTGGTTTTCAACAGGATGCCAAAATCATCCAATGAGAAAAGAATCCTTTTGAGAGGTGGTGCTGGGGGCAATTGGATATCCATATTCAAAAGAATCAAGTTTGACCCTTACCTCACACCATATACAAAAATTCACTGAGATAATTCAAATACCTAGACATAAGAGATAAAACTATAAAACTCTTAGAGAACAATATAGGAATATGACTTTGGACTGGCAATGGCCACTGAGATATAAAAAGCACAAGTGACAACAACAACAAAAAATTGAACCTCATCAAATCTTAAAACCTTTGTACTTCAAAGGGCACTGCAAGAAAGTGAAACACAACCCAAAGAATGAGCGAAAATATGTGCAATCATCTATCTGGCAAGAGGTTCATAGGCAGAATAAAAAACTCTTACAGCTAGCCAGAGATTTAGCTCAGTGGCACCACGCCTGCCTCGCAAGTACAAGGTCCTGAGTTCAATCCCTGGTACTGAAAAAAATCTTTCAGCTGAATCTTTAAAAATAATTAAATGATGGACAAAGCATCTGAGTAGCTGTTTCTTAAAGAAAAAAAAGTATTACCGGGGACTTAGCTCAGTGGTTTCGCCGCCTGCTGCGCAAGCGCAAGGACCCAAGTTTGATCCCCGGTACCAAAAAAAAAAAGTATTACAATAGTCAAAAGCACAAGAAAAGATGCTCAACATCATTAGACATAAGGGAAATACAAATCAAAACCACAATGAGCTACTACTTCCACCCAGTAGGTTGACTATAATTAAAAAGATAGTAAAAGTAAAGTGCAATAGTAAGTATTGATGAGGATATGGAAAAATTAGAACTCTCCACACATTGCTAGTGGGAATGTAAAATGGTGAAGACACTTTGGAAAACGCTTTGTCAGTCCCTCAAAAAATTAAGCACAGCTTTACTATGCAACCCAGCAATCCAATCACAAGTATTGACTCCAGAGACCTAAAAACATATCTCCACCCAAAAACTTGTACATGAATTTTCCTAACAGCATTATTCATTAACATCCAAAAAAGTGAAAATAATCCCATGTTCACCAGCTAACAAATGAATAAATAAAATATGGTGTATCCATACAATGGAATATCAGTCACCCATTAAAAAAAATGAAGATCTGCTGCATGGTATAAGATGGGTAAACCTTGAAAACATTATACTAGGTTTAAAAAAGAAAAAACCAGACACAAAAGGCCACGTATTGTACTGGAAGTGACTTTTAATAAATACAGAGTTTCTTTTTAGAGTGGAATTAGAGAGTCATAATGGCTGTACAACTCTGTGAGCACACTAAAAACCACTAAATCATGCACTTTATGAATGTTGGGTATGAGCATTATATCTTAATAAAGATGCTATTAAAATTTTTGCAGAATTAAAAATATATTAAATACAAAAATCTATACTGTTGTGTGGATATGTATATTGAAAGCAGACTCTAATAGATTTTGAAAGGTATTTGATGGACTATTTAAGAGTGTATGGATGAAATGGAGTGAGAGGATCTTTGTTTTATTTTCTTCTTTTGGCTTGTTTAAATTTTTAAATTTTTAAAATCATAAACCTACATTACTTTTGTCCTAATAAAGAATTTTAAGGCGTCGGGGATTTAGCTCAGTGGTTCCGGTGCCTGCCTCACAAGTGCAAGGACCAGAGTTCAATCCCCAGTACCAAAAAAAAAAAAAAATTTTAAGATATTCTAATAAATCTAATGAATGAATGCCCAGCTCTGCCTATAATAGAATGGTATGGTCTTAACCTAAGTTGATGAAAGAAGATTAAGGAAAAATGGGAAAGATAGGTTTTTACATAAAGTCCATCCAGATGCAGGATTATTTGAAGAACTATACTTAACAAATGGCTAAAATTCCAAAATTATTTTATTAATAGGCACATGTTAAACCAAAGCCTAAATTTAAAAGGCTGTTTTCTATTCAGGCCAGTGACTCTTCCACACTGCCAAGTCATTTTGCTGAGATGTTCCAAGGACATCAGAAACCTCTGCACCAGAGCTGACCTTCTGTCGATTCCATTCAAGACTTTGTTCTCACAGTTCTTATGTTTACAACAAGTGTCTTTTCTTGGCTCCCTCAGTGTTCCTAAATCAGTTCAAAATGTTTATAGCAATTTCTGTCAAATGAAAACTTTACGGTGTGTCCTTATCTACTTTAGTCACCATATCCATAAACTTCTGGCTCTTCCCCAAAGTCAAAGGGACCACAAAAGAGAAACATTTTGCATCAATTCAGAACATCAAGGCAGCCATAGGACAGTGCAACTAAAGACATTCATGACTTAATTGAAAAAATGAAAAAGACATTCATGAAAGAGGAATTCCAGAACTACCCCAGAAAGTGGTAAGAGCAATGAGGTAAGTATGTGCAAAGTGAGAAGGAGAATTTTGAGGAGAATTCAGGGAATGTTTCCTTTTATTTTTGTACCCTGGATTGAATTCAGGTCCTTGCGCTTGTGCAGCAGGTGGCGAAACCACTGAGCTAAATCCCCAGCCCCAGGGAATATTTCTTTTACTGCAATAATTTTTTTAAATTTAAACACTCACTATATTTTTATCACAAAGCGTACAATGACACTATTTCTCTTTAAGTTGTTTTATTACATCCCCTCATAAGAGGATATGTAAAATCATTAACCTCACATTGTCATTGCCATTTAAAAATCACTTTGTGATGTCAAGGTACAAATGTTTGCCCACTGAGAACAGCTTTAAAAATAATCAAATAAAAACTACATATCTAAAGTTAATATTTGCTAGTAAAGTTATCTTTCTGAAGATTATGTATCCAAAACAAGCATCCAGGGAGCACCTACCTTCGAAAGGCCTGGATCCTGGAGATAGAACTATAAATACTGAAAATGAAACTTTAGACTGGAAGCTAGGGAATGGGCACAGAGAGGCTGTTTTGAGGTTTAAGTGAAGAATATATGAGTAGGTGTTTTTAA